GTGTTTGTATATACCACACGTATACTACACATCTTGATGCCTTCCCGAATGCATTGCCAAGATTGAGACCCCTTAAAGTCTTACGTATGATGGACATGAGCATCCCACGACGAATGTATGTGTGTCGCTCGGTGTGTCCAATTATGTGTTTACATAAACAATTCCTCTACGTTGATTGGCTTTACAAATTTCTCTTCAGCCAATCAGAATATTTCATATCATAAATCCTTTCAACTCGAACCCAAGCGTTCGAGACCGCCACAATTCCACTTGCATCCATCTCGACATGTCTGGTACAACTACTTCGTGGCGCACGACTGCACTCGCTCTGCTCGTACTCGTTCCGTTCGTGTCTGGCGCCACCGTCGATGGCAACTCGACGTTTGACAACCAAGTCAACAAAATCCTCCGCTGGGACGGCACCCGCGAAAGCTTGGGGGTTGGTCCCGACGTCATTGCCGGCATTGCCATCGCCGCGGGGTTCACCGCCGTTTTCTTGGGCTACCGTCTCATTCGCCCGGCCATCTTCCTCGCGGGGTTTGCCATCGGGTCGGTCTTCTGCTTTGTTGTGTCCGAGCGCGTCTTCCGCGACAAGGCGTATGTGGACGCGGCGTCCTGGGTCGCGTTTGTCGTCGGAGGTCTCATCGTTGGCTCGTTGGTCGTGTGGCTGTACAAAGTCGGCATCTTCCTTGTCGGGGCCTTTGCCGGCCTGCTGCTCGCGACGCAGATCCACACCTCCTTCGGACACTCGTTCAACCCGTCGGACCCGCATGTCGCTCTCATTGTGCTCTTGGTCGTGTGCGGCCTTGCTTGCGGCGCCGTGGCGGTCATGATTGAGCGTCCTTCGCTGATCGTCGCGACGGCGTGGGCGGGAGCCGTGACGGGTGTGTGGGGAATTGGCTACTTTGCCGGCAACTACCCGAACGCTGCCCGCTTGAAGCAGCACGCAGACGCCAAGGGTGCGTGGCATGTGGACGTCCCAGTAGAGTGGTGGGGTTACTTGGCTGGTTCGGTGGTGCTGGCGTTTGTCGGCATGTTCGTGCAGTTTCGCGACCAGCGATCTCGGCAAGAGCAACCCGTCGCCTACGTTATCGCGTCCACACCGACCCATGGAAACCCGATTCGCCATGTCTAGGCCGCCTCAACACAAACTTTATTATTTACATACGTCTTGTTCTGCACAAGTGGTTGTGTGTGCTGCCTTCATTCCGCGTCGCGGCGCACGGTGAAGTGGCATCTTACGCATTCTTGTAATCGTGAGGTGCTTCCAGCGAACGGACACAGTCGTCGCTTGAATGCGGCGATCCTCCGCGGTGTCGTTGATAACGATGGACGGCTATGGCCCACCGAACAAGAAAATGTTCGTCCCAACCAAGACAAGCGTGGCTGACAGCGTATCGAGGGGAAGAGCGGACGGTGGCGCGGTCGATGGCACGGTTTTGGCGCCTTGTGGGTTGTAGCGAGTGCCGCACGCGAGAGTGGAACGTTATGCACGTTGCGATGCAGAGTTGGCCAAATCGGTCGCGGCGTGCCTGACCTGGCACCCGCGCCAAGTCTTGTCGTATGCCCACGAGATCTTCCGCCCGTGCGTCGGACGGGATCCATTCATTTCGTTGACACAACCAAAACGATCTGTTGTGTGACCAGCCATACGTACCACCAAGACGTGGCAAATGCCGACAATTGCCACGGCTCAGTGCGCGGTTGGCGTTGGCGCGGCTGTCCCATCGACTCGATCGGTCGTCGTCTCCAACTCCATCGACGCTGGTCTCGGTGCTCGCGGATGACGTGCGCAGCGGACAGACGCAACAAAGCTCCAGTCGATCATGCTACATTGCATCCCCGTGTGCGCGCTGCACACATGCTTGGCCATCGTCGACCAGGGCTACGACGTGCCCGAGGATGCTGTCCGCAGCTGCCTTGGTGGGGACGACAAGGATGGCGCGATCCGGTCGCACCGCCATACTACGTCGTAGCGCATGCCGCTGAAGGTGCCTACTGCGTTGCCATGACCACCCTGTCCAACTGCAAAATGTGCTGCTTGTGTTGAGCTCAAACAACACCATTCTCTGCTCGGCATGTCAAAAACGCGCTGGCGGCGGATGCACGGTCAAAGGACGACGTGAATCGGGATGGCGCAGGCACTACGAGCGAGGAAGCCCCGGCATGCTGTCGGTCGCGTTTCCCCCTTCTGGATTGCGATCGCGGCGGCGGGGATTCAACAAACCACTCGCTCGACACAGGTGTACTCAGCGAACGGTTCAGTGGGCACGGCCAGCGACCATTCGATCCAAGCATACAAAATGCCAGATCAAAGGGCGTGTCGTCAGTTTGCCGTGCGTCGAGCAAGGCCAGCCTGCTGTTTATCGTAGTTGGCTCCCGAGCAAGCCACCGCGCTCCGAGACGCGTCGACGTGCCTGCATTGGATCCCTCGCAAATCAAGCGACTGTCCGCTTCGTCGGGTGGACGGCGCGTACACACACATCCACGAAGCTGAGTTGCCCTGACCAAATTTGCCTGGTAGAACGAACTGGACCCTTGCACACGTCGTGCCAGGGACTTTCTAGAAGTGCAGTACCTGCAAACCAATCGAGCTGCGGGCACTGTACAGCTATGCAACTCTTGCGCGATCCGACAACAGGCAGTGGTCATCAGGGGCCGATTCGAGCGGATATTACTTTGGCACGTGCCTTCCATCGTTCACTTGCTGCTGCGATGAACTTGATTGCTGGGCTGACTGTCGTCGCCGGGGCCGCCATGGCGTCGGTCAACGAATCGTCTCGCGAACTCCAAACGACGACCGCGCCGTTCTGCTGGCTCAACTCGTATCCCCGCGGCATTGGCCAAGTGCCGACCTCGTGCGCGGCAGGCCAAGAACGCATTGCACTGTTGTGCTACCCGAATTGCCCGACTGGGATGTCTCGACAAGGCCTCGACTGCCACTCGAACTGTCCCGATGGCTTCGACGACCAAGGGCTCTTTTGCCGCATGAAGGAGTACGGCCGAGGCGCTGGGTACCCTTGGAAGTTTGGCGACGGTCTCAACGACAATGGCATGTTTCGACGCTGCGAAGGAGACCACGGCGCCGGCAAGTGCGAGAAGAGTGGAGCTGTTGTGTACCCAAAATGCCGAGACGGATACACCGCGTTTGGCTGCTGCATTTGTCGCCCCAATCCACCAAACTGCAACGAGTACGGACTGGCCGGCCGCTTCGACCTGTCCTGTGCAAAGAAAGTCATCATCGGCGATCCCGAGTTGGGCACGTGTGCGTCGGATGAAGAACGAAACGCTGGGCTTTGCTACAAGGTGTGCAAGACAGGTTTCTCTGGCGTTGGACCGGTCTGCTGGGGCCGTCCCCCTTCTGGTTGGGTCCGATGTGGCATGGGAGCCGCCACGACCTCGACTCAATGTGCCGAAATCATCCGAGACCAGATCATGTCGGTCGGCGAGATGGTGCTCAATATTTGCACGGCGTTCTCGTCAAGCTCAGCCAAGGCGCTCAAGGCCCCGGCCGACTCGGGGAACTTGGCCAAGCTCAAGAACGGCTGGAACTCCATCAAGTCCAAGCCTGAAGTTCAAGACGCCATCAAAGCGTACGACAACGCGAACCGTTTCAAGACGGGCTACCAGGCCATCCAGGACCTCGAAGACGCCCGCACGACGGAAGACTACGTCCGCTTTGCTGCAACGATCGCATCTATTTTAGATCCCACGGGCGTCTCGGGGGTGATTGCTGCGTACACGTACTCGACGTGCGACAAAGTTGCCCCCCAAGTCCATTCCCGAAGCATCCCCGACTTTTTGCAGTAAGCGAAGCGCTGCAGTTCGACTTCAACGTGTGCCGACAACAAATATTATTTGTCAGAGGTATTGGTGTGTGCGCAAGTGAGAAGCAATAAAATACTCCCT